GCGGAGAGAAACGTTACTACATCTTGCGTTGCTGGTACTGGGCATTCCGAGACCAAATCCGGGAGAAGACGGGGTGAAAACCATAGTTGGCAAAGAACGGGGACTGTCCCGTCGCTGAGTGGCGGGCGTTGTTGTACGCGAATTCCGCTAGGGGGAGAAGTGGCATCCAGTCATCTTGAGTAAACGAAGTGTAGCATCTCAAGTATTGCTCCAGGGTCTGATTGGTCCTTTCGGTTTGACCGTTAGTTTGAGGGTGGAACGCAGAGGAGAGGGACAATTTGATGTCCAGGGCTTTGCACAGTGCTCTCCAAAATCTTGACGTGAACTGGACCCCCCGGTCCGAGACAATGTCTTTGGGGACCCCATGCAGCCTTACTACCTCACGAATGAAGACTCGCGCAGTCTCGGCTGCCGAGGGGGTTTTCTTCAATGGGATGAAGTGGGCCACCTTGGACAAGCGGTCCACGACCACCAGGATTGCCGTGTGGTCTAGTGATGGCGGAAGCTCGACTATAAAGTCTAACGAGATCTTTTGCCAAGGCCGTTCAGCAATCGGTAAGGGTCGCAGCAGACCCCAAACTTTGTTTCTTGATGGCTTGTTCTTTTGGCAGGTGATACAGGACCTTACATAGCCCTTACAATCTTTAGCCATGTCCTGCCACCAGAAGGAGCGTCGGAGAAGTTCCAGGGTCTTTTCTGGGCCAAAGTGCCCCACCATCGGGTGGTCATGGCAATGCCCCAAGACCAGGGTTCGGGCTTCCTCCGGCACCACAATCCGATCTTCCCTCCATAGGAGTCCCCCCTTGTTCTGGAGGAGCCCTCCGGCTGGGGTAGAGACGGTTGTGGATGCCTCTATTATCTTGGAACGAAGGTCCGACTGAAGGGCCAAGAAGTTACCCGAGGACAGGATGGTGTCGGGTACTGGGATCTCCTTGGCGTCCTCGTACATACGTGATAACGCATCTGGCTTAGTGTTCTTTGATCCAGGCCGGTACGTAATGTGGAAGTTGAATCTAGAAAAGAATAGTGCCCATCTTGCCTGTCGCGGGCGTAGACGCTTGGCGGTTCTCAGATATTCCAGGTTTTTGTGGTCAGTAAAGATTAAGATGGGGTGCACAGCACCTTCCAGCAGGTACCTCCATTCCTCTAACGCCATTTTGATCGCCAGTAGCTCTCGATCACCGATATCATAATTCTTCTCCGCTGGGGTAAGCTTCCGTGAGAAGAATGCTACAGGATGGAGCAATTCCTTGGTGCCTTTCCGCTGGGAGAGGATGGAACCTACCGCATTCTCCGATGCATCCACCTCCAGGATGTAGGGCAGGGCGGCGTCTGGGTGGGTGACCCAAAATGGGTGCCGAGATGAACAGCTTCTTCAAGGCTTCAAAAGCTTCCTGAGCCTCTGGTGTCCATCTGAACCGGGTTCCCAGCTTGGTTAGCTGAGTAATGGGGGAGACCAGACCCGAGAAGTTCTTGATGAACTTCTGGTAAAAATTTGCAAAACCAATAAATCGTTGGACGCCTTTCTTGTCTGTGGGTTCAGGCCAATCCAGTATTGCAGCGACTTTCTGAGGATCCATCGCGACCCCCGCGGTGGAGATAATCAGGCCCAAGAAAGTAATGCTGGATTGTTCGAAACAACATTTCTCTGCCTTGGCGTACAACCCATGCTGCCGCAATCGCCCCAATACCCTCGCTACATGTATTCTGTGTTCCCCCAAAGAAGGGGAGAAAATCAAAATGTCGTCTAAATAGACGATAACAAAGACATCCAGGAAGTCCCTAAAAATATCATTCACAAAGTGTTGAAAAGTGGCCGGAGCATTGCACAACCCGAACGGCATGACCAAATATTCAAAGTGGCCGAAGCGGGTGCGGAAGGCCGTCTTCCACTCGTCCCCCTCCCTTATGCGAACCAAGTTGTACGCTCCCCTCAAATCCAGCTTTGTAAAAACCACTGCTGTTTTTAAACTTTGGAATAACTCCGGTACTAACGGCAGTGGGTAACGGTTCTTTATCGTGACCCTGTTCAACTCCCTGTAATCGATACACGGCCTTAAGGTTTTGTCCTTCTTTTCAACAAAGAAAATTATTGCCCCCGCCGGTGAAGTGGAGTGGGGGGCGGATGAACCCCTTCTGGAGGCTGTCCTCGATATATTCCTTCAGGGCCCCCAATTCGAGCTCTGAAAGGGGGAAGATTTTCGCCCAAAAGGAATTTCTGAACCGGGTAACAGGTCAACGGGACAGTCATAAGGGCGGTGGGGGGGGGTAGAGTATCGGCTCCCCGTTTGCTGAACACATCTAGAAACTCATGGTAGGCTGCAGGGATTACTTGTTTTAATTAATCGGCTTCCCCCTCAGAGCACAGGAGGATTTGGGGGACCCCCGGGCCCGAAGTGCGGCAGTATACCCGACAGTATGGGGAAGGGAACGAGATTACTCCGGTCTCCCAGTCAATTTGGGGGTTATGGGCCCGTAACCATGGGAGCCCCAAAATGACTGGGAAGAGGGGTGAAGCTATAGCATCCAGGCGGAGCAGTTCCTGGTGCTGGCCGGCAATGACAGTGGCGATGGAGGGGGTTTCCTGGTTCACTACCCCTCATTTTATCCGGGAACCATCGGCCAAATAAATATTGAACCCCTTCTGTTTCAATTGGAGAGGAATACCCTGCTGGTGAGCAAAATTAATGTCCAAGAAGCAGCTGCATGCCCCCGAATCAACTATGGCCGATACTTCCACGGTCCTTTCCGGAAGCTGAAAGGAAAGGGGCACCACTAAGTATTGGGATGGACTAACATTGCCAATGGACAAGGAAGAAGAGGTGCACTTACTCAGTTTCTGCAGGCAGGATCGTACCATATGACCAGCTTCACCACAGTAGAGGCACAGGTTCTGGGATCGTCTGCGCTGGTGTTCCTCTGGAGATAGTTTAGGCCGTGCCAGGCCGAGTTGCATGGGTTCAGGGATATCTCCAGGTGGCCGGTTCTGGATGTTTGGCCTAGGTGCTTGACTGGGACCCTGAAATGACCCCCAGGGATTTCCATGACCCTGGCCGGACCTCTCAAACCTGCGTTCCCGCAGTCTACGGTCAATCTTAATAGTCAGCGCAATTAAGTCCTCTAAAGTCTCAGGCACCTCCACCCGGGCGAGCTCATCTTTCAGGCCTTCTGATAGGCCTATACGGAACTGATGCAGGAGTGCAAACTCGTTCCAGCGCGTGTCCCCCATCCAGCGCCTAAATTCAGACGCGTACTCCTCCGCTGCTCGGCGGCCTTGCCGGAGCGTGTACAAAGTAGCTTCAGCAGAAGCTGCCCGCTGTGGGTCATCGTATAGGATGGCCATTGCGTCAAAAAAATTGTCAACCGAACTAAGGTGAGGGTCATTTTTTTCCCCGCAGTCGGTGGGCCCAGTCTTGGGGTTCACCCTGCAGGAGGGAGATGACGAACCCCACCTTCACGGATTCAGTCACAAAGGTTCGTGGTTGCAACTCAAAATAGAGAAGACAGGACTCACGGAACGACCTGAAGCGTGTGCGGTCCCCGTGGAAACGTTCCGGTAAGGGTACTCGGGGTTCGGCCGCCGGGAGTGGTGCGGATGCCCCAGAAACCGGCACAGGGGCTGCTACGGCCGGGGGTGCGGGGACCGCGGCCTGTGGGGCAGGAACGGATATAGTGCAGGTCTGGAATTGATTCTCAATCTGCTGACATCTGTCCTGCAGGGCCGATACGGCCTGTGTCAAGTTAGACAGGTGCCTGCAGATCTCCTCAAGCGGCGAGGGCCCTCCTCTAGACTCAGTCATGGCCTTCTGGTACTGTAAGGGACCGCCTGGCGGTACCACTAGCTCTCCACTGAATAGGCGTCCCCAGCGCACGGAGTCTAAGTCCCAGGGTGCTTGTTCACCAGGGCCCCTGATGGTGGGGATGGACTTGGAGCCCCCTGAGACCAGGTCGTGGCTACTGGGTGCGTCCGTCAGTGGTAGTGGTATGCGCCAAGGGCTCCCACGGGGAAGAGTCTGATATGAGGAGGTCAGCAGACCCCACTGCACGGGATGGATGGATGAGCAAGGTCAGACGGGCCGGTCGGTAACAGAGAGGACGGCAAGGTACAAGGCAGCGGGCATAGAATGGTCGGGTCACACGCCAGGTCAGCAACAGCAGGTCAAATCCAATAGGGGGCATCCAGGAGAGAGGTCAGGCAAAGCAAGGGTCAGGGCAGGAGAAATACAGCAAGGTCAAAGCACAATCCGGGTCAGCAACTTACAATTCACAGGTTCGCAGATACAGGATACAGTTAAGACCAGAAGGCACTGAATGACAGCTCAGGGTCGTTTTTAAATATCCCGCCCTGCGCTGCCATTGGTGCCCAGCGGGCGGCCACGGCTTCTACTGCGCATGCGCGAACTCGAACGCCGCGGCCGGCCCGGACCTAATGCTCGAGTCCCTGCACAGGGCGGCACACTGCGCCTGTGCCGGGACCATCGCGGCGGGGATCGAGGGGATCCCTGACAGAGAATGATAAAGAACTGTCTTTCATAAATCTATGATAGTTGTCACTGACAAGAAAAATTCCCTTACCATTCCCTCAAATACTTCACATACTTTCTGAAATCTAAGTACTTAGTTGTCACTCATTATTAGACAAATCTTACCATTAAATACTATTGAGGAAATGTTTATCCTAAAAACCCAAAAGATATAAATCAGTGGGTGATGTAACAAAGCACCATGTACCAAAAACATAAATCTCTTTTCTTGGAAATATTTTTGTGTACACGCAAGACTGATACAGAAACCATGTTTGTAAGAGCACAATTTTCTAACAGACAATTGTTCTCCCATTACAAACTGAACAGGACTTTAGTTTCCCTAACAGTAAAATAAAGCACACGTAATAAATACATATCTGAAAGAAAAAGTTATAGGCATAACAGTCTCTTATGTCTCTTCAATATGTGTTTTAGTGCCTGTTATTCTGTCACAGTTTGTCTTCATAATTAGGCTTATATACCTGAAATATGATAGTACTTACCAACAGATATTGTCCATACAGCAATTATTTTAGCAAAAGCCTTGGCTCTTGAGTTGAATCGGCTGTGATGGATAGGGTTTCTTATCGCAATGTACCGATCCAGAGAAATTGCACAAAGGTGCATGATAGAAGCAGTGGAGAACAGTACATCCAAATAAATCCAGATGGGACACAGTTTTCTATGTAAAGGCCATTCATAATCTGACAGATAAAAGAAATGGGAATAAATAATTACAGTGTTTTTATACAGTTACCATTTGCTCTGCTCATTTTATGCTTAATTCATAAGAAAATTATGTAGGAACTCAATAATCTGCTTGAGGCTTACGAGAATTAAAAGGCGCATATTATAGTATAAAATTTATACTACTATAATATATTATATATAAAGTGCTGGGTGCTACATATTCTAAAATATATCATAGATTATATAGAAATTATATGTCCTTATACTGCTACTTACCCTGCCTATTCAGACAATAGGGATGCATGCGGTGCAATTTCTACACAAAACATTTTCAAGGGAATGTATATTTTATTTTACATTTTATTACCTATACTTGTAAAAGATATCATTTTAATCAGACATTGTTTTTTTGTATACAGAGATGCTACTTTTTGCTTTGCACTGTGATATATTATTTGTGATTTACTGTTCCTTCCCACAATGTAAGTCTGCATATACTGTATGTTGGCCAGTCTGAAACATCCAGATCTGTTCTTTGCAGCTTGCCCTTTAGTTGTGTTCAGAATAAAAGCAATTGTATTGAACAACAACCTATACATGGAGGAGTGGAACACTTATCTAACACCTACAGTGCATCCAGAAAGTATTCACAGCGCTTAACTTTTGCCACATTTTGTTATGTTACAGCCTTATTCCAAAATGGATTAAATTCATTTTTTCCTCAACATTCTACAAACAATACCCCATAATTACAAAGTGAAAGAAGCTCATTGTGAAATATTTGCAATTTATTAAAAATAAAAAACAAAAAATGTACATAAGTATTCACAGCCTTTGCTCAATACTTTGGTGAAGCACCTTTAGCACCAATTACAGCCTCAAGTTGTTTTGAGTATCATGCTACAAGCTTGGCACACCTATTTTTGGGAAATTTCTCCCATTATTCTTTGCAGTACCTCTCAAGCTCCATCAGGTTAGATGGGGAGCATTGGTGCATAGCCATTTCAATGGGGTTCAAATCTGGGCTCTGGCTGGGCCACTCCAGGACATTCACAGAGTTGGCCCGTAGCCACTCCTCTGTTATGTGGGCTGTGCGCTTAGGGTCGTTGTCCTGTTGAAAGATGAACCGTCACCCCAGTCTAAGATCCAGAGCGCTTTGGAACAGGTTTTCATCAATGATGTCTCTGTACATTGCTGCATTCATCTTTCCTTCAATCCTGACTAGTCTCCCAGTTCCTGCCACTGAAAAACATCCCCACCTCATGATGCTGCCACCACCATGCTTCACTGTAGGGATGGTATTGGCCAGGTGGTGAGTGGTGCCTGGTTTCCTCCAGACATGACGCTTGGCATTCAGGCCAAAGAGTTCAATCTTTGTTTCATCAGACCAGAAAGTTCTGTTTCTCGTGGTCTGAGGGTCCCTCAGGTGCCTTTTGGCAAACTCCAGGCCAGCTACCATTTGCCTTTTACTGAGGAGTGGCTTCCGTCTGGCCACTCTACCATACAGGCCTGATTGGTGGAGTGCTGCAGAGATGGTTGTTCTTCTGGAAGTTTCTCCTCTCTCCACAGAGAAACGCTGGAGCTCTTTCAGAGTGACCATCAGGTGCTTGATTACCTCCCTGGCTAAGGCCCTTCTCCCTCGATCACTCATTTTGGCTGGGCAGCCCGCTCTAGGAAGATTCCTGGTGGTTCCAAACTTCTTCCATTTACAGATGATGGAGGCCACTGTGCTCATTGGGACCTTCAAAGCTGCAGAAATTTTTCTTTACCCTTCCCCAGATCTGTGCCTTGATACAATCCTGTCTCGGAGGTCTACAGACAACTCCTTGGACTTCATGGCTTGGTTTGTGCTCTGACATGCACTGTTAACTGTGGGACCTTATATAGACAGGTTTATGCCTTTCCTAATCATGTCCAATCAACTGAATTTCCCACAGGTGGACTCCAATCAAGTTGTGGAAACATCTCAAAAATGATCAGTGGGAACAAGATGCACCAGAGCTCAATTTTGAGTGTCATGGCAAAGGCTGTGAATACTTATGTACATGTGTTTTTTTTTTTTTTTTTTTTTTATTTTTAATAAATTGCAAAGATTTCAAAACAAACTTCTTTCACGTTGTCATCGGGGTATTGTTTGTAGAATGTTGAGGAAAAAAATGAATTTAATCCATTTTGGAATAAGGCTATATACATAAAGAAAAGTGGCAAACGTTAAGCACTGTGAATACTTTCTGGATGCACTGCATGCTGGTTGATCACAAATTATTCAGTACAGAATATATTTTGTCCCATAAACGTGACGGCTTCAGCTAGTTAGGTCAGGAGTAGGCTAAATTGTTAAAAGTTCATTCTCCAGCCCAAGCACTCTTTTATTTTTATCAATTTTCTATTTTAAATAGATGCATACATACATACATGAATACATTCTTCATTCATCTTGCTTCTATTTATTTATGGTATAATTTCCTTCCAGCTACTGTATATGCTCTGCAATTTTCCTCTCAAATAACTTTTGTAACAATCAAATCTAAGGCCAATGTTAAATTTTTAGGCTGAGACTAATAAGGATTTCTATTGTAATGAAGTGCAATATTTATTTTCTTCTTATTACCATTCAGTAAACTATTACTTTCTGTTCTCACAGTCCTAACAATTCTTACTGTCTTAATATTTTGACTTGGTTCAGAAATAGAGATGGTATCTTTTATTAACAAAAATAAAGAAAGAAAAGAAATACATAAAAAAAAAGATGGAGAAAATCTCTGGTATTTCCTGAAATAATAGAGCAAGGATCCAATTAGTCAAGATGGTTTCAATAACTTCAAAAAACTATAATATTCCTCAGAATGTGTAACATAAATGTAAAAAAGCTCCTCCCTTCCAGATTTACACTAGCCTCTGACAACTACAATAATACCTTTTTACACACTATTCCTATCCCTAGATGACAGAAGAAGATTGCACTTTTTTGAATACTGCCACAGCAAGAAATATTGAATGCCATTCTCTCCTCTCCAACCAATAAGACTCCAGGAAAGAATGGCTTAGCACCAGAGTCATAAAAAAAGCACATGCTGAAAGCTTGGCAACCCATTTACTTTGAGATTATAACAATGCATTTGAATGAGATCAATTACCTCACCATTGATAGAAGCACTAATTATTCTTCTGATCAAACCAGGTAAAGATCCAGATAAATGTGAATATATTTCCTGGGAAGCCACCAAACCTTATTTGAGCACTCTGTTAAATGTTATAGAACTGTTGTTGGGTTTGGGGTGTGGTTTACCGATGCACTGGGTGAGTTTGAGTATCCTTCTCATTGAACCCTCCCAATCTCTACCCTTTTTTTCAGCATTGCAAGCTTGCTACAGTGGAGAGTTTTAGATACCTTGGTATACTCTTTCATAAGAACCTTTCGCTGTTAGTCACCCTCTGTCTCCTCCCACCAGTTGCTCTTATGAAAGTGAAATTGCAAAACTGATCCACTCTTCCATCGAACATAATAGGTAGGATCAACCTTATAAAAATGATCTACATACCAATTTATTTATATACACTATATTGCCAAAAGTATTGGGACACCCCTTGAAATCATTGGTTTAAGGTGTTCCAGTCACCTCTATGGCCACAGGTTTATAACATCAAGCACCTAGGCATGCAGACTGCTTCAACAAACATTTGTGAAAGAATAGGCCGCTCTCAGGAGCTCAGTGAATTCAAGCATGTTACCGTGATAGGTTGCCACCTGTGCAATAAGTCCATCCATGAAGTTTCCTTGCTGCTAAATATTCCACGGTCAACTGTTAGTGGTATTATTACAAAGTGGAAGCAACTGGGAACAACAGCAACTCAGCCATGAAGTGGCAGGCCACGTAAAATGACAAAGAGGGGTCGGCGAATGCTGAAGTGCACAGTACACATAAGTCACCAACTGTTTGCAGAGTCAATAGCTAAAGACCTCCAAACTTCAACCTTCAGATTAGCACAACAACATTGTATAGTGAGCTTCATGGAATGGGCTTCTATGGCTGAGCAGCTGCATCCAGGCCTTACATCACCAAGTGCAATACAAAGCGTCAAGTGCAGTGGTGTAAAGCACGCCGCCACTGGACTCTAGAGCAGTGAAGATGTGTTCTCTGGAGAGATGAATCACACTTCTCTGTCTGGATATTTCTGAGTTTGGCGGTTGCAGGGAGAATGGTACTTGCCTGACTGCATTGTGTCAAGTATAAAGTTTGGTGGAAAGGGGATTATGGTGTGGGGTTGTTTTTCAGGGGTTGGCCCTGGCCTCTTAGTTCCAGTGAAGGGAACTCCTACGGCATCAGCATACCAAGACATTTTGGACAATTTCATGCTCCCAACTTTGTGGGAACAGTTTGGGGATGGCCCCTTCCTTTTCCAAAATGACTGTGCACCAATCCACAAAGCAAGGTCCATAAAGACATGGATGAGTGTTTGGGGTGAAGAAACTTGATTGGCCTGCACAGCATCCTGACTTCAACCTGGTAGAACCTCACAACCGGACCTCACAAAAGGCTGATAAGCAAAGAGAGTGGGGCCATATTAGTTGGATTTTGTACTGCCCAGTCAGAAGGCTGGGGATTGAAAAAGGACACCACTGTTAACCTTATCTGAATGAGGTCTCATCCATCTGACTGTGCTGGGTGAAAAGACTATAAATCTCAGGAATGAATGGACAGAACCTGCTCCTATATATATGCATTTCATCTGTGTATTTAGCTGATTGATTATGATGTGGGGTTGTGTTTTCAGGGGTTGGCCCCTTAGTTCCAGTGAAGGGAACTCTTAACGCGTCAGCTTACCAAGACATTTTGGACAATTTCATGCTCCCAACTTTGTGGGACAAGTTTGGGGATGGCCCCTTCCTGTTCAAACATGACTGCACACCAGTGCACAAAGCAAGGTCCATAAAGACATGGATGAGCAAGTTTGAGGTGGAGGAACTTGACTGGCTTGACCTCAACTCCATAGAAAAACTTTGGGATGAACTGGAGTGGAGACTGCGAGCCAGGGCTTTTTGTCCGACATCAGTGCCTGACCTTCCAAATGCACTTATGGAAGAATGGTCAAACATTCCCATAGACACACCTAAGCCTTGTGTACAGCCTTCCCAGCAGGCGTCCTAATACTTTTGGCAACATAGTGTATATATTTAAAGTATTTGCTTCACAAAAGGTATTTTTTTTTTAATCTAGACTCCTTTATATCTTTAATTATCTGGAACAAAATCCACCCATGTGAAGCCAAATATACAGTGACTTGAAAAAGTATTCATACCCCTTGAAATTTTCCACATTTTGTCATGTTACAACCAAAAACGTAAATGTATTTTATTGGGATTTTATATGATAGACCAACACAAAGTGGCACATACAGTAATTGTAAAGTGGAAGGAAAATGATAAATGGTTTTCAACATTTTTGTACAAACAAATATCTGAAAAAGTGTGGCATGCATTTATATTCAGCCCCCTTGAGTCAATACTCTGTAGAACCACCTTTTGCTGCAATTACAGCTGCAAGTCTTTTGGGATGTCTCTACCAGCTTTGCACATCTAGAGAGTGCAATTTTTTGCCCATTCTTCTTTGCAAAATAGCTGAAGCTGTGTTAGACTGGATGGAGAGCGTCTGTGAACACCAATGTTCAAGCCTTGCCACAGATTCTCAATTGGATTTAGGTCTGGACTTTGACTGGGCCATTCTAACACATGAATATGCTGTGATCTAAACCATTCCATTGTAGCTCTGGCTGTATGTTTAGGGTTGTTGTCCTGCTGGAAGGTGAATCTGCAGCCCAGTTGCAAGTCTTTTGTAGACTCTTAACAGGCTTTCTTCTAAGATTGCCCTTTATTTGGCACCATCCATCTTCCCATCAACTCAGACCAGCTTCCCTGTCCCTGCTGAAGAAAAGCATTCCCACAACATGATGCTGCCACCACCATTTTTCACAGTGGGGATGGTGTGTTCAGGGTGATGTGCAGTTTTAGTTTGTCGCCACACATAGAGTTTTGCTTTTAGGGCAAAAAGTTCAATTTTGGTCTCATTTGACCAGAGCACCTTTTTCCACACATGTTTTCTGTGTCCCCCACATGGCTTCTCTCAAACTGCAAATAGGAATTCTTATGGCTTTCTTTCAACAATGGCTTTTTGCCACTCTTCCAGAAAGGCCAGATTTGTGGTGTGCACAACTAATAGTTGTCCTGTAGACAGATTCTCCCACCTGAGCTGTAGATCTCTGCAGCTCCTCCAGAGTTATTATGGGCCTCATGGCTACTTCTCTGATTAATGGTCTTCTTGCCCAGTCTGTCAGTTTAGGTGGACAGCCATGCCTTGATAGGTCTGCAGTTGTGCTATACTCTTTCCATTTTCGGATGATGGATTGAACAGTGCTCCGTGAGATGTTCAAAGCTTGGGATATTTTTTTATAACCTAACTCTGCTTTACATTTCTCCACAACGTTATCCCTGACCTGTCTGGTGTGTTCCCTGGACTTAATGATGCTGTTTGTTTAATAATACATTCTAAAAATCTCTGAGGGCTTCACAGAACAGCTGTATTTATACTGAGATTAATTTACACACAGGTGGACTCTATTTACGAATTAGGTTACTTCTGAAGGCAAATGGTTCCACTAGATTTTAGTTAGGGGTATCAGAGTAAAAGGGACTGAATACAAATGCACACCACACTTTTTATATATTTGTTTTTAAAAAAATTTGGAAAACCATTTATCACTTTCCTTCCACTTCACAATTATATGCCACTTTGTGTTGGTCTATCAAATAAAATCCCAATAAAATACATTTACGTTTTTGGTTGTAACATGACAAAATGTGGCAAATGTCAAGGTGTATGAATACTTTTTCAAGGCACTGTACATCACAAGCAGCACCTGCAGATGTTGGGCTAGCTTATTCTAATTGTTATAACTAATTTCTAGCCTTTCAGTTATCATTTATCCAAGAGTAGCTGACTTCCTCCAATGACAATATAACTGCTGCTACTATATTAGGGACACTTGAACAATTTTGTAATGTTATATAAAAGATGACATGCACCTCAATACAGCATGTTTCCTTCTGAAACTTCTGTCCTAGCCTGGCATAGTGCTGTTGCACTCAAAACTGTCCCTCACTGCATATGTCTTGCAGTTTAATCCCAACCTTCAAAAACTGTATGGACATCCAGACACTTACTGGTGAGCATCAAATATTTGTTGCATCTCTTTCTTAATGGATCATTGAACAGTTTTCAAATCTTGAAAGACAGTGTGGGGCTGATTTGCCAAAAAAAGAGAGTGCAAAATCTGATGCAGACCTGCATAGAAACCAATCAGTTTCCAGGTTTTTTTTGTCAAAGCTTAATTGAACAAGCTGCAGTTAGAAGCTGATTGGCTACTATGCACAGCTGCATCAGATTTTGCACTCTCCAGTTGTAGTAAATCAATCCCTAAATCATAACTAAGATATCGTTCAAATACCTTTTATTGTGAAACACTGTTTTTAGGCAATTTAAATCTCTATCAGTGACCATTGAACACACTTTGTTAGAAAGATCCCTCCCAATGGAAAGTGATCAAGAGACCTGAATTCTCTGCTCCAAACTGAGAGCTCTCAACCCTTCTGAATGTATACTGTTTCTGTTGTATGATGCATGGGACAAAGTACAACAAACCTAATCTACCCTAGCACCGTGGGCAGATTAATGGAGTTCAAATGTATTAAAAGATTGTAGTACACACCAGATCGACTTTTAAAGATGGGATAGTGTACTCATAACATGTGCCCTAGATGCCACACACCTGCTGTTAAGCTGTTTCATATATCCTAGCTCTGCACACATATCCAGACTGTTTATTACTTTCTTACATGAACCTTGGGTTTCACAGCTCCTTTCTAATGTGATGTTTCTCGGCACCATCAGTGCCTTTATTCACAGCTCTTTTGCCAGAATATTGCCTTGATTGGTTTTCTTTCATGCTTGCAAGCCAATTCTATTCCATTGGAAGGACACTCATCCTTCTAACAACAAGTTGTTTTTAAGTAGATTAATGGTGCTTTCCCTAGATTTAAGATGATTTTTTTATTGCCAGAGCATATTCTGAAAAATTCACAAGGATTTAGTGACTGTGGCTGGAGCGATTCCAAAAGGCATTATCAACTAAGTATTTGTGTATGCACCCTGAATGTACAGTTCTGATATGAGTACATGTAGGCTATTTAGCTTAGTGTTTAGTCATGGTGGGAAGGAGAGTCCTGCTGTGTGAATGTGTATTATGTTGTTTGTCTGTTTTGTATGTTATTGCTCCACCTGGTTGACTGGAATTGTTAAAACTGTACTCTACAGTATTGCAAAGCATCTTTAAAACCTAAAAATAAAAACCTTAAAAAAATAAAATGAATATGTTTTTGGGATACAAACAATCATATAGCATAATGATATATTAACAAAAAAAAACTATTTAATGCAGTTATGTGTTTGTTTAAAGCAATACATGTGATCTGGATCTGGCTTTATAGTTTGACATCTTGCAATGCCCCTTACATCAGCATTCAGACTAGGGGAAAGAGTAAGTACTCTCAGACAATGTGGTTCTCCAGCCTTCCATACTGAAGGACAATTTTGGTCTTCTACTGCTTCTTAACTGTCCAGTCACAGGCTGGGAGAATGGAGGTGTTTAAGTGAAATTATGTAACTGCAGCAAAGAAAAGTGACTGCACTAACCTGCCTCTGATGTCCAGCAGGGCTTCATAAATCTCCAGACTTGCTGGACAAAATCACAATCCTTTTGTAGGTAAAACAGCCACTTTATTAGGTACACCTTTCCAGTACTGGGTTGGGCCCCCTTTTGCCTTCAGAACTATTTTAATTCTTCATGGCATATATTCAACAAGGTGTTGGAAATATCCCTTAGAGATTTTGGTCCATATTGACATATAGAGTTACTGTTACCTTTCTATCATCTTTAACCACTTGCCGACCGCGCATAGCCGAATGACGGCTGCACCGCGGCCGGCTAGTTCTGGGTGGACGTCATATGACGTCCTCCCAGAACGCGCTCTCCTGCGCGCCCCAGCGCGCACCCGGCGATCTCCATGATCGCTGTGTCCTACGGACACAGCTGATCACGAGATGTGGTGAAAGGCCGATCCCCGGCCTTTTTACCACGTGATCAACTGCCAATCACGCTGATGGAAAATGCAAGTGCCGGTTCTCGGCTGCATTTTCTCTTTCGTGAGGAAAGTCTGCCGAGAACCGGCAGTTGTCCATTCAGGGCACTCAGCGTGTAAACCCCAGCAGTGGAGAGGTGCGCCCACTAGCCCCGCCCACCCGTGCCCAGCATACCTGTGCCCAAGTGCCCCCACCTGTGCCCAGCAGTGCCCCCACCTGTGCCACTCTGCAGTGCCACCTACCTGTGCCCAGAAGTGCCACCTACATGTGCCAGCAGTGCCACCCACCTGTGCCCACCCACCTGTGCCCACCAGTGCCACCCACCTGGCCCACCAGTGCCACCCACCTGTGCCCACCCACCAGTGGTGCCCAACCAGTGCCGCCCACCAGTGCAGCCCAGCAGTGCTGCCCAGTGCCACCAGTCAGTGCCAGGGGTTGTGCCAGTCAGTGCCGCCAGTCAGTGCCCAGAAGTGATGCCAGTCAGTGCCGTCTATCAACCCATAATCAGTGTCACCTATCAGTGCCGCCTATTTGCATATCAGTGCCGTCAATTAGTGCTGTCTATCAAAGCCGCCTATCCGTTAACCTTTCTACTGCCATTTTGATGCTCGGTTTGCTGCTATCAGTGCCCATCAGTGCCGCCTATCAGCCCATCAGTGCCACATCTCAGTGAAGAAGATGCCCTGTTTGATTTTATAAAAGAAACAAATAAAACTTTTTTTTTTTTTCAAATTTTTTGCATGCGCCCAGTGGCGATTAAATACCACCAGAAATCTCTATTTGTGAGAAAAAAATGATCAAAATTTCATATTGAATGTTGCTGCAATTGTCAATCAAAGTGCGGCAGCGCTTGGCTTGGCCTGGTAAGATTAGCAGGCATTTGTTTTCCTCTTACCTCTAAAATCAACAAGGCATTTTGTCCACACAACTTACCATAGCATTCTCTGAAACCCTAGATGGTTGTACTACCCAGTAATAAAGGGCCAGAGAGAGAGCGTGCTTGTGTTTGAACTTCAGCAGCTTGTCTTCACCACATCTAGATAAATATTGATATATGATTGGCTGATTAGCAATTTGTATTACCAAGCAATATAGGTCTACCCTAATAAAGAGGCCAGAGAGAGAGCGTGTGTGTGTGTGTATATATATATATATTATATATATATATATATATATTATTTTAATATACATATACACACTATATTGCCAAAAGCATTGGGACACCCCTCCAAATCATTGGATTCAGGTGTTCCAATCTCCTCCATGGCCACAGGTGTATAAAATCAAGCACCTAGGCATGCAAACTGCTTCTACAAACATTTGTGAAATAATGGGTTGCTCTCAGGAGCTCAGTGAATTCAAGAGTGGTACTGTGATAGGTTGCCACCTGTGCAATAAGTCCATCCGTGAAATGTCCTTGCTTCTAAATATTCCACAGTCAACTGTTAGTGGTATTATAACAAAGTGGAAGCAACTGGGAACAACAGAAGCTCAGATACAAAGTGGTAGGCCACATAAAATGACAGAGCGGGGTCAGTGCATGCTGAAGTGCACAGTGCATAGAAGTTGCCAATTCTCTGCAGAGTCAATAACTAAAGACCTCCAAATTTTGTGTGGCCTTCAGATTAGCAAAACAACAGCGCGTAAAGAGCTTGATAGAATGGGTTTCCATGGTCGAGCAGCCACATCCAGGCCTTACATCACCAAGTGCAATGCAAAGCGTTGGATGCAGTGGTGTAAAGCACATCACCACTGGGCACTAGGGCAGTGGAGATGTGTTCTCTGGAGTGATGAATCACGCTTCTCTGTCTGGCAATCCAATGGATGTATCTGGGTTTGGCCTTGCCTGACTGCATTGTGCCAAGTGTAAAGTTTGGTGGAGGGGGGATTATGATGTGGGGTTGTTTTTCAGGGGTTGGGCATGGTCCCTTAGTTCCAGCATACCAAGACATTTTGGACAATTTCATGCTCCCAACTTTGTGGGAACAGTTTAAGGATAGTCCCTTCCCATTCCAACGTGACTGCACACCAGCAAGGTCCATAAAGACATGGATGAGCAAGTTTGAAGTGGAGGAACTTGACTGACCTGCACAGAGTCCTGACCTCAACCCCATAGAACACCTTTGGGATGAATTAGAGCGGAGACTGCGAGCCAGGGCTTTTTGTCCAACATCAGTGCCTAAACTCCCAAATGCGCTTCTGGAAGAATGGTCAAATATTCCCATAGACACACCTATGCCTTGTGGACAGCCTTCCCAGAAGAGTTGAAGCTGGTATAGCTGCAAAGGGTGGGCCAACTCAATATTGAACCTTATGGACTAAGACTGGGATGCCATTAAAGTTCATGTGTGTGTAAAGGCAGGTGTCCCTATACTTTTGGCATTATAGTGTATAAATGTAGGATGTGCATAAAATCCTAGCCAGACAGACGACAGTGTGTGTGTGAATGTGCATTTGTGTCCACTATGGTCATTGGCACCAAGTGGGCTCATTATTGAATGGTCTTTTAGCTCTGTACCTATGACCTTTGATCTCTGATCATGAACCTTGTGTCTGAACTTTGTTACTAATTCAGCTCTCTCTGCCCTGCACTTGGATTTCCCATATCTGCCAAAGGTTCCTGATCAGCTCCACTACCAACTTCAGTCTAGACTTCTGATCAAGCTTCTGTTTGCCAACTTTGTACTCTTGCTCACTGCACATTGCTGACCTCTGCTTGTTCCCAGCCTTGACTTGACATTTGCTTGGAATTTGGTACTTCGCTGCTTATCAAATCTGGCCTGTGATCTGACTCCACCTGTACCTGAACCTTGGTGTATCCTTGGTGCATTAACAGCTGTACTGCTTTGCATCTGATACCAGCCCCATAGAGGTAGATTGTGTTATTGTATTCTGATGTATGTGTTCTATTGCTTTTACCAAGTGCAGGAGTACTCTTGAGTGCTGCTCCCATACCACCCACTACCCCATCTTATCCCTTTTATCTCTAACCATGATCATCACTGAGCTTTTGAACTGAGGCCAATCCTTCCAAGCTAATAGTATCTATGATCACAGAAACACATATAGTGCTATAAAATCAAAACATTAGGCTCTAAAAAAATATTTTAGATTCATATAATGAAACAGGAAACCTGCACAGTTTTTATTTTACATATGCTGAACCAATAATTTCCTAACATATTATTTTCCTGCATAGAAAAGAAATGGGAATATAATGAAACAAGGCTTTGTAAGCATGTCTTAATTTTGGTCTGTGGCTTATATTTCAGGTTCAGTTTAGGGTTAAATTCAACATTTGCTCACTGTTTACTACATATTTATCCTGATAAGATTAATAAATGATTATAACAACTAATTTACTAAAGCACAAAATAATAGTGCAATTGATTATAACTGTTTATTAGACATTTAGACATTTGCATTTCCTCTTAAAGTGATTGTAAAGCTTTAGTATTTTTTTTAAATAAAATAATAAAACTTTCATACTCACCTGCTCTGTGCAATGTCAGAGCAGGCCTGATTCTCCTCTTCAGGGGTTCCCCACCTGCGCTCCTGGCTCCTGCTCTTCAGTGAGTGCCCCCTAGAAAGCTGCATTCTATGGGGGCATTCATGCAGGATCAATCCTGACCTGACCTGCCCTAACCCCTGCCCCTTGTCACAGAATTTGATTGAAAGCAGCGGCAGCCAATGGCTTCCACTGCTATCAATCTGCTCCAAGAAAGCAGAGAGAGACGCTGATCTTGAGTGCAGCACTGGATTGAGATCGGGCTCAGGTAAGTACAAGGGTGGTGAGAGGGGGATCCTGAAGCACAGATGGTTGTAGATAGTGTATTAAGGTAAGAAAAAAAACCTTAGGATTTTAGAACCACTTTAATATATGCTACAGCTAAATGGTAACTTGTGAGATATAACAAGCATCTGAAATTAAATAGATTTTTTTAAACCTTGATTGGAAATTCATAATTGAAATGGTAATAGTATCGTTGTTCACTTTTAAAAAACATTTCTTTAATACCAATAATACTCAAAATTGGATAGGGGCATGTAAAATAAGACCTCCTTCAGATTACGTCACAAATGACTATGATCATATTAGCTTAAGATCTTCCTAACTGTAAACACTAAAGTTGGAGAAAAGTTGGAAAAATGTTTAAAGTATAACAGGTAAAACGTTTTTCTTTCAGCAATGACTATAATGGGGAACAGTTTGAACCTCTTTCTCATTAGGGAGATTTTACTTACTTTCCCTGTGGGTGACAACTGCCTCTGTGATGGGAATTCCCCTAGAGGCGACAGATACAACATTAAAAATGTCAGATTAGAATCATCCACTCTACTCTAAAAGATTTCTATGACTGTATGTGTTTCTGATTTCCAGGGGATATCCACTCTTAGTGAGGACGCACACAATAATAAAGACCTGGCTAAGGTTCTAAGCCTTCCCCACAAAGCAAACCATTTTGGTTGAAGTTACACTTTAAGAAAACTCCAAGGAACTAAGGATACTAATGAATGCCTAAGTAACCTAATATTTATTTGTGTTTATTTTTTTTTTTTACTAATTGTGCTTACTTTTTCATACCAATAGCAGAAAATGTCATATATTTTTATATTTATATTTTTAGTACAAATACTACCATTTAGTAATTCACAGTGTATAGACATCATATCAATGCAAACTGTTTGTCAATATATTTTCTTTGAAATATAACCAGCTAACGTTACTTATCATAAAAACAGTGTGAATAGTATCATAAAAGTGTGTGTTGAAGCCAAATGCAAGTTTCACTAACCAAATCTTTACTGTTCTGACAATTGCCTAAAATATTAAAGCCATCATAGAAGTGGAGTTACTAAAGGAAAAGTGTCTAATACCATATTGAAAACAAACATTTTAAATACATTTGCCTTAAGTGTGTAAGGCAAGCATATGTTCCACCTGAATGGCATAAACGTTAACTCTTTAGTAAATATCTAAATCTAGATTTGTGTTCTGGATGCTGCAGTGTTTTTATAGGGCATACAAAGGAACTAACCCTGCTTGAAATGGCACAACCATAGTCCAAATTTGCCACACGTGTATTGTGAATTTTGTTTAATAAAATGCCAGTGCAGTATGTAAAACAGATGATTTCAGCTTTCACGCAACAGTATATTTATGACAAGGTGTCTTAAACAGGTGTCTTCTTCCAATTTCAGTGGAAAAGTCATTCATAGTATCATTATCCCAGTTAATCTTGGCATTTTACACCTAATCTACTCAAAACAGCTGCATGTGCTGGAGCAGGGGCGGACTGACAACTCATGGGGCCCCCGGGCAATAGGGGATCATGGAGCCCCTGTGTCCTTGCCCAAACTAAAAAAAGCCTATGAAAAAAAAGGGGCCCCCTACTGACCCCGGGCCCTCGGGCAGTGCCCGAGTTTCTAAATGGTCAGTTCGCCCCTGTTCTGGAGAAAAAAAAATAGATTTGCTTGCCAGTGTATGAGATGCAGTTGTACAATATTAATTGTACAGTATTTTTATGTTACAGTTTAAATTATGCATTTAGTTATGATTAGGCAGCTTCTATTGCCTTCCCATGATCAGAAGTTTTGACCTGGGGGGATTAGAATCAAAGTGTTTTGAAAAAGGGGGGGGGGGGTGTGTGTGTCAATGATTATTTTGGTTCCGCAGCTTGATAAACAGAACATCTAGATGTGTAGATGTATGAACAATCTGAGTTTTTAAAGTGATATTATCAATGTAATAACTGTCCTTACACTTTGTAATATTAACTCAATAATAAAAGGATCAAAGGTAACCTTTATGGCAAAGAGAGGAGAGTAAAACAGATGTGTTAAAATGGATTAGACCAGATAAACAGCAATATACCTTACTGATCTATAATGACTGATGGCCAATATTGCTAACCTTAAAATAGCAAAACAACATGTACTCTTTTCCAGTTTTGAGAAGGATTAAGTAAGGTGAAAGGTTCTACTATTTTAGACTTAGATAGAAAATTGATTTAAACTGCTTACTCTATTTAATCTTTACCTCTGGATTTCATAATCATCCAGATTATTGTTAGCTACATTGAAGTTTCCTTCTTACTCTTTTATAGTAGCAGTAGATAAATATTCACCAGTAAGGGGCGCTCTGGTACTACTAAACAACATAGCAATATTGCATATATGCATATACAGCTGTCTACTAAGTGGCTAAGTGCCCATGATTAGATAGATAGATAGATAGATAGATAGATAGATAGATAGATAGATAGATAGATATGTTAAAATATTTTAAGCAATAGAAAAATAGATTCAATAGAAAATGTGTATCTTCTTACTGTATATTTCAAACAATAACTGAATAACACAATAAGCCATAAACTGTTGCACATATAGCTCATTTTGTTGATCAATCCACACTACACACTATGATGTTTACAGTGTATTATCTCTATGTATCCTTTCTATATTATTTAGAATTTATAACTACATTTAGAACTTATTAATATGGGTTCTATATAGAACTAGACATGGCACATGGTATTTATATCATACACACGCTTTCTAATTATTTCCAGCCAATGAAAAAGCGAATCACATTCTATAATAATTTGAATTGCTTACCCAAAGCATAGGTTGGGAATACAAATAGTATCTATCTGTCTGTCTATCGATATCTATATCTATCTATCTATCTATCTATCTATCTATCTATCTATCTATCTATCTATCTAAATATCAATATCAATCTATCTATCTATCTATCTA